GATATTGGAAATTCTATTAGAAATTATATAGAATGAACATATTTAACAGGTTTTTATTATACATTAAAAGTAAAGGTATAATATAAAGGTTTATCTTACTCATACATAATATTATGTAAAGTTAATTGCAACAACAAGACAACTCGCCGCGTTTGTACTGATGAATAACATTTTCGTCTGGCGTTGTATTATTACATAAACATCCTGTGAAAATAACTTATGCCATGAATAAGGAGTGGAGTTGCGGCGGGGCAGGGCAGGGAGGGAGGGAGGTAGGAGGGCAGAAAGGGGGGGGGAGTCATGAAATATTGACACAATAACCGGCCGGAAGTGACGTCACGTGTGAGGCTGCGAGTGCTTCATACGGTCGCGGCTTATCTCTTGAGCGAGATGTTAACGAGATGATTGCAACAAGCGCTGTCTCGCGACACATCACTAGGCCTGATACCTTAACCGTCTTGTGCCGACGAGATATCAAGTAATGTGCGTCACGCATTTGACTTTGTTATAACAAACATTAAATACGCGCAAGAACTTTGTCAAAACGTTTGAATTAGTTCAAGAGTTAGGATTAAAGTTTCGTTAGATATTAGTTAAATACTAATGTATTTGTCTTCAAAAGACATTGCTAGAGTACACGAACGAGTATGAGTACGAGTAACAAAGTATGAGATTTACAAAGGACACGGTCATGAATAAGCAATGCTCTGCGGATACCCGCTCCTGCCCGGTCTCGGTCGGTCTCGGCCGGTCCTGACCGTCGATGTCGAGGCGTGTCTCGCTAGCTTTTGTCCGCCCTATCCGGTGTACTTCTTCCGATAATGTTATTTCACTCGGGCTAAAGCTTTCACAAGTAAATAGCTCTCTGTATGTACAATTCATTAAATGTAAGCATAGTTCCGAGAAATGCATTGTGCTATTCCATAATTATCTCATATATGTTTAAATACAAATTTAAAAACTTATGAGAGACTTTTATATGTAGCATAAACATTTTTCACATTTGACGTCGATGAATATTTTCACTATTAAAATAACACTTTCCGGCCAAACCGCTTACACTGCCATCTGTCGGCGGAGGAAGTACATTTTTCATTTTCCTGAAAGCTAATTTAGATTTGTGTCGGCTGAGCGCGGCTTGCCTCCGCCACCGCCTCCGCCTCCGCCTCGGCCTCCACCTCCATCGCGATACTGCCAGATAATAACAATGTCAGAATCTCTTAAATTATAATCCGAATGTTTTTATTTATTATTTCCGTTTATATATAATATTTTATTTTTAAGATAACTTTGCGACATTGTTCTCACCTCTTTTTATGTGTTACATCACTTTGTTATGAGCATTCCTACTTAATGACTCAGACATCATTGACATTTTGTTTTAAAACATTATTTAAATACGTGACTTAGTTTTTGCTTATTTCGTCTTGGCAAACATATAATGCCTTCACATATTAGTTACCACCTTTGCGAGTTGTTCCATACTCCATGTATGTACGAGTATGTGTAGATTTGATTGTGGCGGCGATTCCCAATGGATTTTGTTTAAATTAAGGCGCACGGGGGGCCTTTGCCGGGCTGGCGTGGTTCGCACTTCCTCTTCAGCAACTATTTTCATAATTGCAATGCTGTTAACTGAGTTCCCAAATGTCTTACAATTTTCCCGTCTCTCAATTTTGTCTACACCAAATTTGAAATTGTTTAAAGTACTTATCATCTATATTTTAGATGATGATGATAATATCATACTTATGTTAGTCCTCGTATCAGTACACAGTGGAGTTTTACTCTCAATTATAAGATATTTTTGCGCACATTTCTACTGCTCGAGACTTAATTAAAGAATGTTAGAAAAAGGAAACGCGTAGCCCCGCTTCACTACAAGGCTACGAGGCTACGACACTCACACCGCCCCGCTCCGGGCGCAGCGCGGGTGGTGTTTCTTTTGATGAAATCGGAAAGCGCTGCACGAATGCCTCCGCCTGCGACACACACTCCACAGTTGGCACAAACTTTATTTATTCTCCACAAGCATCTTTGGAATTCTCTAGGCGTTAAGTCGGTTCCTAATTTTATTTGAAATTTTGTAGTTTAATTAGTGTATAACAAGTTTCATTCAACAAGAAATTTGTAGACTTCCCTCTGTGCAATAAATGATAACGATTAAAATTAAGTTAATTTACTTAATGGTATTAATTCGTTATAATTTCAAAACGGTTATCCCTAAAGGCCCGGGATCTCAATTAAGAAGTCGTTGTTGCGTCGTATGCGAGGGGCGGAGCGCGGGGCGAGGGGTGCGGGGCGCGGGGAGAGACTAGGCCATGCCACGCAATCATCCCGATATACGACCTGGTTTTACTTAACTGAACAGAAATCACCAATTTCTTATTCCTTCACATAATCGAATTTGTCGCTTTTTAAAGCAAAACTTCAACAACAACTTAATTCTTTAACAATTAACTTGAGTGGGACCAGGATAGGACCCTTTTAATAATAAACTACTGCCGCGCCACTGAATACCAGCTAAGTAAACCGGAGGACCCTCACTTAGAATATTACTTAGTCCACACTCATGTAAACGAGACGTGTTTGATTTCAGAATAAGGATGTTTAATTTATACAAGAATAACTTTGTATGAATATTACATATGGCTTGTTCTGATATTACGTCATTTAAACAAATTATCTGCACGTTACGGAAATACGTATTAATTAACAAGAGGTTTTGTAACAAACTGTTACTTGTAAAATTTTACTGAAAACAAATTATTCTGTACTTAGTGAAGTCCTTAATTTTCTTAAACATTTTAATGTTTTTCAATTATTTTAACGTAAGAACCTTGTACAGAATAATTACCAGAAAGATTTTATTAAGAAATTTGTTGCCGAGAGAAACAAGAAATTCTTGTTGAAAGTAACAGTCGCCAAATTAAATAATGGTTGTATGGAGAATATTGAATTAGTTCGCGACTCGTTGAAGATGATAATGAGGAGTCGTTAACATTCCGAGTGTCCGCCACCTTCCGCCCTCTGCCCCGTGTCCCACCCCCGCGACCTCACCTTCTACCTAACACTGTCACATCAGACAACTTCTTTTGTCAATCACTACATAGTATCATGATTTTTCTGTTATTCCATTTTTTGTATTACAATAGTTGTGAAACAATAAATTCTGTAGACTGATAGTAATAACAGTGGCTTGAAGCGAATCATCCCTAACAAATACAAAGGTGTGTGAAAGTCGTTATCGGCGCACATCGCTGCTCGGATCGAATGCTTTATTATTCATAAAGGCTATATTTGTCTGAGCGCGTGTGCGTGCGTCTGTTGACTCAGTGTAATTCACTACAGCAAATGTTACATGAACAGATTCCTTCTGACTCCTCTTTAATAATTTAACAACCTTCGCCCCCCCCGCCTGACACCGGCGCCCTCATGTTTTCTTAGAACGTCGGAAATTCCATACGTACTTTTGTATAAGGACTGAAAACCTTTTCGTACAAATTTTAAACGTCGTTCCTTTTATCTGCTAACGTTTCGCAAAGGTTTGCCTTTTAAATGTGTAACACATTCCTCGACTATACAGTTAATACATTGGCGTGTCTGAATGTAACACCAAAAAATAATTATCGTATTTGCGAACGTGATACTGTGCATATAACGAAAATCCAAGTTGTAAAACTTTTGACCATCTGTATATCCGCAACTCTGCGTTTGTTTCGGTAATCTCCAGAATGGCTGAACTTTATCTCTTTCTTGTATCCCAAATGACGTGTGAGGGGATAGATTTTGGTGTTAATTTGTTTCCATGTATTGGTTTAATTTATTTAAAAGGCGCGATATGCCTCGCCAGTCATTTATATAAAAATATTTTTTAGTTTATCAAACGGTGTTAACATGAATCATGTCATTGACTTGCTCGAAGCTAAGCTCTGTCGGTCACCACACGGCTCCACGTAAAGCGACGGATAACGGATTGCCTTAGTCGAGGCGAAGGCACCCTTTCCCCCCACTCTCTCCCCTCATCCACCTTCCTTTTGTATTATAAATAAAACTACATACATAATTTAATTCTATATGATTGAAAGTGGAACAATATCAATAATCGATCATACTTTGTTAAAGTTTATGAATTTATATGTACGGCCTTATGGTTTTCGGAATAGAGTTTAGGAAACACAAGAAGATTAAAAAAAAATGTTTAGTTATTTTTCGTGTTTTAATAAAATTTACTTCTGTTTATATACATATACTCAATGTGAAAGGAAGTCAACTAGTGCAGTATTGTAAAGGCAGGCAACTAGACGTTAGTGCCGGCATCGCCCGCGGCGCGGCGCGACGCGGCGCCACCGAGCACCGAGCACGTTTGAAAATTAATTAAATGAGGAGCGCAGGCTTTATAATACTTACATCTGTGAGCTTCGCTTGTTGTTCTAAATTAATTTATATTTCAGTGTCATAACGTTACGAAATATCGCATATTTTTGCACTTATTAAAAGCTTAAAATATGTTGCGAAACGAGAGATAATTAGAAGCTTAAAACATATAATTAATATTAACATTTACCGGCTGTTGTTATTTCATAAAAATACTGTTAATAGTCGGTATTGATGTTTGTCCGAGCTGTTTATTTAACCTTCGTTGTTTTACAAAGTAGACGAGCTTTATTAACTGTGTCAGTGCTGTCGAGCGACTCGAGCTCCGGCGTAAGCTGCTCGAACGCATTCACATTACGGTCAAGTTGTTACTACGAATAAAATATTTATTTAGGTTAATTTCTACGTATTTACATTACATTAATATTATTTAACAAGTTATTCTTATATCTATTACGATTATACAAAAAACTTATCGTCTGTTCCACAAACATTGGAATGTTATTCATTTGACACATAATTATTATTTTTAACATACGAATAAAAAAATGTAAGTATAAATAATGTTGTATGTAGTTGTGTACAAGTATGTAATGTGTTTGTGTGTGTGTGTGTGTGCGCAGTGAGCGCGCTGCGGGAACACTGGGCGGAGGCGAACGCGCGCGTGCTGCAGCGCAAGGCGCAGCTGGACGCCATGCTGGGCGACTCGCAGCGCTACGAGGCGCGCCGGCGGGACGCGGACGCCTGGCTGACGCGCATGGAGACGCGCCTGGCCGCCATGGCGCCGCCCGGACACACCGCTGACGTGCTCGACATGCAGCTCAGGGACCAGAAGGTAAAAAACACAAACTGATGTAATCATTACACAAAGTAGAGCAGGTCGCTGACTCGGTTCAGTTCAGCGACTTTGAGAAGAGGGTTTGATCCCCTGATTTACGCCATGTACGAGTACTAACGCGTTTCGCGGTTTACGAATTTCATATTTCATATGTATCATGCGCCGTTTCTACGACGAAGAAAAATATTGTGATCCCTGAACGTGACTAAACTGTACGAATAACAAATAGTCTGAAAAGGAACTAAGGTAAACATACACATTGACTTAAACCTATAAATAATCTCTATAATGCGTTATAATTTCTTTCACTTTAATTAATAAGCGTATTTTGCAACAATAAATACATACATATTTAGCGTCAATTTACGTTCAGAAAGTAAAGATCTCGAGAGCCCAGTTAGTGTTATAGTTACGTCATTAGTGATTCACTCCTTATGTTTCATTCTCCGCCCCGAGAATGCTCTACTTCGAACATCCCCGGGGGTGGCACTTTTAAATTATGTCATTTCAAACTATTGAAAAAACTAAACATATTAAATTGTAATTGGTTAGTTATTGAACATTGCAGTTGGCGTGCATTTCCAAGCACTTATGTTTGTAAAATAAATGATAAGGAAATGTTCGTTTGCTGTATCTTTCATAAAAAGAAGAAATTTAAATTATAAAAATCTTTGTAATTTTAAGTCAAACGAGCCTTGAAATTGAAATTTATATAAAATGTAAATATTAAATACTCTTTGCGACAACCCTGGGCCGGCGGCAAAGCATTTCAGAATGCCTTCAGTCGCATAATTGTTCCCATTTATTACGTCACCTTAAACACAAGCGCGGTAACGAGCCCCCCGGGGTGGGGGCAGCGGGAAGGAGGGGAGGAGGGGAGGTAATTAATGGGCGATTGTAGTTCCTTGACTCGTTTGTAAAAATTGCCTCCATTATCCTTCATACAAATACTTTAAAAATTGAGAATCTGCATTTAAAACCTTATTTAATCCTTTTAACAATGACATGGTTTATAATTTATATTGGGCATTTAAAAATAGGTCCAGATTTTTATCTCCGTACCACTATTATATGAGACCAAAGAATCATGTTTTTTGATAGCAAAGTATGTGTACAGTTTGTTATGTCTGTGTGCAGTCGTTCCACGCGGAGGTGCACCAGTACAAGCATCAGATCGAGCTGTTCGGTCAGCTGACGCAGCGCCTCATCGCTGTCTACCGCAACGATGACACTTCGCGAGTCAAACGCGCCACAGAGTCCATCAACCACAGATACACAGACCTCACCAACAGGTACACAACACACGACTTATACAAAAACAATCACAGGTACTTTGCCAGTAAGTATGTTTTGTCCATGCGCCATCTATCCTGTAGCGAACAAACTATTCCCTAAAAACGGGTTTAGCGCCATCTATAAAAGAACCTGTTTCGTATCTTGGTTACGCGAAGTTAGTGTTTGAGTAACTGTGTTTTGTGCAGTTTTGTCTAGAGGGCGTTTTTTCAATTTTGGTTTAGCAACCAACATTGCGATTTTCAATTTTGTTATGTTGCTCTATTAAAAAAGTAAATAAATAATTCGTAAAAATACTCAATTTAATTACATGAAGTTTTTATCTAAAATGAAACATTAAATATAACATTAATTATATAGTATCGTGGCGCGCGGGAAGGCGCTGCACTCGGCGGTGTCGTCGCTACAGAATTTCGACCGCTCGCTGGAGAAGTTCGTGGGCTGGCTGAGCGAGGCGGAGTCGCTGCTGGATGCTGCAGAGCGCGACCCTCATCTGCTCAAGGTAAGTCACATGTAGTGCTTCCACGTTTTTTTACAGCGCAGCATCCCGCACTTTCTGAAATTAAAAGTAGATGGCGTTTACCGCATCGAAATATGTTTTAAAAGTAAGAACTGTAGATGACGTTTTAATACGTTTACATTAGGGCATTTTAAATTTCATAGGAAGACACATAGATGGCGCTTATGAGATTTCTACAAATTATAATGTCGTTTTTAGAAAAGAACGCTAGGTGGCGGTCATCACTGGTATAATATCGCGCCATCTTTAGAGTAATTTAGACATCGACAAAATAGAGAAACGATTACATTACATGAAGATGGCGTTACCTAGTATTAAGCTTTTTACGGCAAACTATGTATTCTTAATTTAATTGTCTTAAACCTATGTGATAAGTAGTAAAACATTCAAATATACGTCTAAAATTTCAATATAATTAAATTTAATTGGTTATTGCGATAAGTTTTCCGATAAATAATTGTTTTGTTGATAACTTCACTTCGTAGCTGGTAAATTTATATTGATTGGTTAAATATGGATGAGGCCCTCATTGTTAGTTTATTTTAACTCATAACGATACGGGAAATGAAGAATAATAACAATTGCGCTGATAATAGCAAGTGAACAATGTTAGCCTTTAAGAAAAATAATAAAGGTTATTTAAATTAAAAAGTAGTCAAATAAATGTACATTAATATGTTTAATAATCATACATTTTGTTAGCGCAGCTGCATAAAAGCATATCAAACTATGTTTTTCTAGAAAACAAAATTAATGCTTTGGTGTTTAGAACAAGCAAATAAACTTTAACGGGCTAACATATGGCAAAATCAAAAGTTTGAAGTAGTTCTAAATTGGCCGGTTAAAGTTTAGAATGAGTGCGGTTAAATGCGTCGACGTCGTCTACCGCAGCATCGCGTTACTCTTAAATACGTCGCTAATGTTTGGTAATCATTAAGGACGTTTTTACTGGGGAACTCCATTAGACATCTCGTAAATACGTCACTGAGGCAGCTGAGATATTGTTACGCGTTTTATTTTTACCTTTTATAAGTTCTTACTAAATACATGTACATACATATCTCTGCATGTATGCATTAATTTTGTAACGAGTAGAAGACATTTCTGTGTTGTGTTAGTGTTTCCAATAAAGGCTTTGTTTATTTTCACAATAAAAAGACGGAGATATGTTGTAATAAACTGTCTCTATATTGTAGCGATGCGGGAGGGGTGGGGGGAGGGGGGGGGGCGTTCCTACCGCGACTGCGACTACCTGTCCGCAGACCCTACACTAATAATGACTTTAAATAAAATGAAATTTTAATTGAGCAGAAAGATTCATCTCCTTTAATAATAAAAATTGCGTGATATAAAAATAATTGTGATGTCGAATTATGTTCAATGAAAAATACAAATCTTACAAGTTCCGTCGGGGATGTAGTAATTTGCAACGATTTCCCTTGCTGTCCGAGAAATGATCGTTGATTGTTCAGTTCAGGCGGGCCGCGGCAATAGGCACCGGATAAATTAGAGAGAGAGAGCGAGGAACAAAGGGCCGCGAGAAATCTGACGCGTTCACAAGAATAAGAAAGTATTGGAGGCGCGATAACAAGCCCCTATTATTATCTCTGCACACCCCCCAACCCCGCCCCCATACCCTCTCGCTATGAACTTATAATTTCCTATAAAAAGGTCGGAAGATGTATTGCGAAGTTTTCATTCATTTTTACTGTTTCCGCCTCCTTGTATTCGCAATGATCATTACTTTCCTTTTTCTGTGTAAAATGACTGAAATTTTTATCAAAATTTCATCCACCAATATTAAGTAACGTAATGCAATACGTACAGGTACAAAAATTAGGGCACAAAATAAATGGGTACAAAAGTATTTGTCGTTAACATCGGGGAAAATAAAATAGATAGAGAAAACCGAATTTGTACCTTTTTTGTTATTTGTGCGTCATTAGTGAACAGGTAAAAAGAATTCGATATCAAATTCATGGTCTCAAGCGTGTAGTGAAATAAACCGCGCGCCGGAAATCGCGACAAAATCCATTGCACAGATGTAACACAAACTCTGACTAGAAGTAAAACAATACGGCATCACAACATTGACATCGATTGTGCACCCTATGAGGTTGCAATAGAGAATATATTCGCTAAGCGGCGAGGCGCGTAAAGCACACGAATGTTACCTCTAATGACTTTTTAATGTAAGTGCACTCGTTCATTACTAAGAGGTATGTACCTGTCCGTGAGGCGAGTGAATTTGTAGCCCGCCTTATTGTTCTATACTTACCTACTAACTTAAAATAACTAACTGCGTTTCAATTCGTCAAGGATCGCCTAATGATACTAGATTTCATATTTTTTGTTTGACTTGTATTCTACTAAAAATATTTGAAAGAGTTCAAGATAATTCGTGCAAAAGTGTTTTTTTAATTTAAAAAAAACGACGTATATTGCCCTATCAGTTAAGCCACGCCTGATGTCTTCCGAACTTTTATACGCGTATATATTTTTCAGTTTATATAAAAATCTATTTTTGAGGTAAAGATGAATTGTTAGAATTACTTCATTTTATAAAACATTGATTTTTTAAGTATTTTATAGAAATATTTTATAAAAATATGAAATTGTAGACGTACATTTACGTTATACTAATTGAATTGTTTAATTAATTATCTTCAAAAATTCAAACAGACGCTGATGATGATGCTGCTGTTTCATATAATTTTGTGACGACATAAAAAAAAGCACACGATATAATTTAGATTGTGACATCGCTTATGGATTTAGTTGATCTTTTTGGTTCTAGAAATAGTAAAAAAAACTAAAACCTCTCAAAGTACTTTTGTACAATTACTTATTATCAAAACCATTTCACGTTAACATTTAGCTTAGCATTGTATTTTAGAAATATTAATATATTGAATGTGTATGTACAGTACAGTACAGTTGCTTCTGCAATGTCTGAATATTTGCATAACGAGTGCTATACCCGTGGGGAGGGGCGAGGGATCAGAGGGGGGAAGGTCTATGTTCACAGCGGAGGAGGTTTTTATTGAATAAAAATTTGAATATGCCTTCATATTAACAAATTCCGCTGCCCAACAAAGATCATTTCGTTTTAAAGCCCTCTTAAGAGATTCCGGCCGGTTAGCACGCTCGCCCCCGCCCCCGCTTCCGCCCCCGCCTCCAAGCCCGCTCCTGCCCGGCGGCTGCGGCTTGGGAAAGTTTCATTTTAAATTGTTTACTTTGATCTGCGCCGACAGGTTTTTTTTTTGGAAATTTTGCGCAACTATTTTAATTAGCGCCCAAATTAACATTTTTAAGAGAAGAGAATTTGATAAAGTTTTTTCCCGTCTTAGTAAAAAAAATATTTGTTAGTGTATTCAATAATTCATTTATCTTTTATATAATTTTTATGAATTTACATTTTATTAGTAATTATTATTTATTATATTTTATTTGTTGTAGACATTCAGTGAATACGAATGTTAACAGATTAGAGTCGAAAATACAAGTGATAAAGTTAAGAAAAAATATAACAGTATTTTGATTGTGTCAATCAATAAGCTTTTAGCCGAGAAGGAAAAGGCTTTCATAACAACGACGAACATTTTCCTAATCTCCTCGACTCTACGAGTTTCACGTAGGCATCGTCTCATTGCTTATTCTTATGAATGTTTTAATGCTTTGCCGCTACCGGATACCATTTCATTGGAAATAAGTATATGTCTTTAGTAGCCGTTTATATTTTTTACAGCACTTAGATACATATGTACAATGAGAGTCTTAAATTCACAACGTACAAAAGATTTGTTTACTGATGGAACAAAATCCAATGATTACATCCCGACCAGCTGCAAGCACTTAAAGTAAGAACTGGATAAATAGGATTTGCAAATGTGTTCTTACATCGTAAGGATGCAGTGCAGGTAGAAAGCGAGCTGTAGCCAAATCTGTTCGCAGCAGAACAAAGCACATAGCCCGCACAACTCTACACCGATACAATCTGCAACAACAATAGATGCCGTATGCATTTCTCGCATGCGATAGTGCAATCTAACGCATCGTGGTAGAGCTTAGAATCGCCTGCGTGTGTTTACTGTAGCGATGTTGCGCTAATGACTTTTTAATGTCCGCTCCCGCTGTTTCACCTCGCAGCTTCTTTGATGAACTAACTCAATTTGTACTAAATATTTTTCTTACACTCTTACAATTCTCATAAACGTTATATAATGCTATCATTTCACTAACATTTTTCGATCTATTTTTGTCGTTAACAAACATGTAGGAGTAACGGCCGAGGCATATTTTAGATCGCACTTAAACCGATTTAACGAACACTTTAGGAAGGTTACTTAAGTTTCTAAAAGCGTACACTCGCCGAATTAATTGTTAACAGTGTGTTTTTAAATATTAAACATTGAAGAAGTGAATGATGTATAAAAGGTTCTAATCGTGGGAGAGAGACATCATCCTGTAGAGAGCTGTGTACGGATTGTAACGAGTGTTTAATGTGAGAAGTTTTGCGCTGAACTCCTCCGTGATCGACAGGTGTCGCTTAATATCCACTTCTAACTTAGTCAACACGGATAACTTTATTATGAGATAGTGTAGAGTGCTTTATTAAGTCAATCTTACTTGCGTTATATACATACATTACCGCATCGTGTGAATTGCCTAATCTGTTTGTTTAGATAAATATTATTGTGTTTTGTTACCAAGACGAGTAACAACTCAAAACATGATCAAGTTGTACAATATTCTTTGTTCTGAAGTTTCTGTCTCTGCTTATCTTATTCGCACCGGGCAAATAAAAGAAATGGCGCGGTTAAGTTTGTTGACAAGTGCAACAACTGGCAGCTAGCGCCCCCCCCCCCCGCCTCTCCTCTTTTCATACGTGTTCAGAGTTTGAACATTCTCTCTCGGCTGAAAACATTTTAACTTTGTCGTTTGTACAAGAACCGAAGGTTACTTTTTAATCGGGGGATTTA